TTTGTGATTAACATGGACAAAGCATTGTGCAAAATCCTAGTAAACAGGCAAAAAAAAAAGCACAAAATAACTCCATCTAGACCCCCCTTTTCCCTGCACACCACCATTGATGAAGCAAAGGCAGGATCAGATAGTTCCTGATTAATAGCAGAGTCTTTCTGACACAACCACAAGTTCTGCATGTCCTTTCAATTAGCAGTTCTTTCCCATTCCCTTTGCCAGATAAGTGCTCCACAGTTTGGAAAGTTTAGCTGAGTGGATCCCACCCCTTGTACAGTGAAGGGGAAGAGAGAGGGAACAATTCAAAGAAGGAGCTGCTGCTGAGCTGGCTTTCACGATAAGCCTGTTATCTGTACCCTGCATGTATGACAGCTGCAAGCAAACGCCAACTGCAGCCCAAGCTGGACGCACGTAGGGTCTGAGGCTGCGAGCGGGGAGACTGCACGGTAAGAAGAAGAGCGCTTGCCTTCCCAATGTTTAGCGTGATGGACTGCAAGTCTCAGCAGACCACAAGAGCAGCTCATATGTTTATTTTGTACATTGTCATAGTTGAAAAAGTCCCTGAAAGTTTTCAAGACTTGACTTGGAACTGTGCTGTTCTCCATGTATTCTCAATGCCAGCTCTCAGGCAATCAAGTGCTTCGGCAAGTCAATGCCTAATCAATACTGGCGAGGACCCATGGGTAGAAATGACAGGACCGGCTACCCTCAAATCTTCCTCCTCCGGGTCTTTACTAAACCCAATAGACGTCTCTTGTGTTGACAGTGATGGAATTTGTAGATGTTTTCCTGCCAATGTTACATTGTGTGTGTGTTTGGTGTGTTCATCTTATGGAAAGTTGATACAATGGTTCTCCAGTGATCGTGGATACTTTTATGACTTCCTTCGTTTTGTAGGGCACGTTGTGCATTGGGCAGTTGACGTGTCATGGAGTGTGTAGTGTCAGGGTAATGCAGAGTGCCCATTGGTGGTCTGTTTGATTATTTGGTATAGGAAGAACTTCCTTCGTGATGCTGAATCTCTATAGGTGCAAAATAGAGGAAACACCACTGATTATAAGGTCACCTGATAGCGCACTGTGTCCAGTACAATCTGTTACAGTATAAATAATGTTATATTTAGAAAGATAGAAAAAGGATAGGCAGAGAAGTCAAGTGGGCAATGGAGTCTGACTTTTTTTTTTCTATTTGGCTTTTATTTCTTCTGTTTGTTTTTGTTCCCTTTTTGGTCTTAGTGTAGATTATCCCAAGTATGTTTAATTACTGTTGACTGACTCATTGCCTCTGCTGGAAGTCGGTGCCCAGCATCAACTACCACTAGAATGATACTTTTCATGGTGATTTTATATATTTATTTTAGGTATTCATATAGAACCATCAATTTATGCAACAATTTAGATACTGATCATGTAGAAGAAGTCATATGTACATGTGTCAGGGGCTACACAGGGTTCCCTTCTCAGGGTACATGGTGACAATGCATATATATAACTGGACCAACTAAAATATCTATCTATCTATCTATATATATCTATCTATATATATAGATAGATATATATAGATATATATATCTCACTCTGAGTGAGCCCCACCCCTTCTGACATCATAATGACATCATAACCCTGCCAAAATTGTGCTCAGTGGCATAATACAACATATATCGCCCAAATTGTGTGGGTTACATACATGTTGATCATTCACATCAGTCTTGCCATCAAGGGGCTTATATTCCAAGGCGGATGGGGCAACTCCGGCCCCCCAGCTGTTGTGGAACTACAAGTCCCATGAGGCATTACAAGACTGACAGTGACAGGCATGACTCCCAGAGGCATGTTGGAATTTGTAGTTAAAGCAAAGCTGCAGAGACGCAGTTGCCCACCCCTGATCTAAGGTCACTGTCCCATATGCGTGCCTATATACCTACATGCACACACATAGAAGGGCCAATTTAGACAGCAGCCAATTACTCTACCAGCGGCGGGAGGAAACAAGAGTACCAGGAGAGACCCATGCAAGCACAGGGAAACCATGCAAACTCCATGCAGATAGTTTCCTAGCCAGGATTCTAACCAAGAACCCCGGTGCCAGCTACTTAGCCATTATGCTGCTCAGTTTTTACCTTTTCTCCTGCTCATTTGAAGCCATGTTCCAGTGTTTGTATTGAAAATACAACCCTTGTGAAGCAAATTCGCACCCTTAGACTCGGTTTACATCTGTGTTCATCTTTGTACATCTTTACATCTATGTGTTGGGGTCATTTTGTTGCAATGCACTGTAATGTATTACTTAGGGGCTCCGGTGCGGTTTGAGCCACTCTGGGGTGCGTTGGGAGCCCATTGAAAGTGAATGGGTTGCTTTAACACACCGCACAGGTGTGATCTAGATATCTAAAGGTTTCATTGGTGATATGCTGTCATCAGATGGAAGGAGGACAGTACTTTGGAACATAATGCTATATATAGTAAACTACGTGCGGATTGATCATTCTCTGGGGTGTCCTCCTTACTCCAACCCATCGAGGTGGTTGTGAAATAACTGCATAGATGATTTTGTGTCCTTATTTTGTATCTGAATTGATATGGTTCAGATTCCGGAGCAGTGTGGCTTCCAGGACGTAATAAAAAGTGACACCATCATATCATTGAAAAGCGTCCCATAGGCTGACTATAGAGAGACATACAATATACTGACGTCATAATATCACAGCGCTGGATTCACCTGAAGTCTCTTTCCACAGTTTGCTCTGGGGATGTGGAACAATGGTCAGCGTCCGGTCACACAGACGTTTTCCTGGACGGCAGTATGATAGTATGTCAGTGGTGGGACATTAGAGTGTAAGCTCCTCTGTACAGAGACTGATGTGACTGGCTCAGTGTTCTCTGTACAGTACTGCGGTATAACAACATTGTGTGTCTGTGGGGGCATTAAGCTCCTCTGGTGGTCTGCACACTTGTTCCAGGTCAGTGACTGTACGTTTTGAAGCCAAGGGATCAGGATCAGTATGACAGACAGATCACTAAGCTTTCCACAACACACTGCTCTTAACCCAAGGGGATCATCTGCGGAGGTTCCATATTTCTCTGATTACAGGTTTCTATGATCCATAGATTTACGTTGATCGGTCTGCAGGTGATTGTGCCAGAAAGGTAGCTGGAAGGAGACCCAAGTTCATCCGTATCTGCTCATGTGTACAGCACATGTTCCTCTCGGCTCCTCTGGGGAACAATAACTCATGCACAGCACTGTAAATGGCTCCAATCACTGTACGTCCTCCACTTGTCAGCAGCCCTGCAATCGAGGAAAGGGGTCGTCTCCGATTTCATGTTTGCCTCCTTCACAGGTGACCTTTTGGGGTTTTTAAGGTTGCAGTTGCGTCCTCGCCTCTTCTGTCTTCCTCATTTGGGATTGTGGAGTACACCATGTAGGGCTAAGGGGTAATATCAATGGGCGATCTTGTCAACCTCGTCCTTTTCCATTGGACAGCATGCAGCTGTCAAAGTTAGCATTTGAGAAGAAAAGGTTGCAAGCAGGGCCGGATTTTCCACAAGGCCAACCAAGGCCCGGCCCCGGGAGTAGAGGGGCAGCAGGGAGTAGAGGGGCAGCAGGGAGTAGAGGGGCAGCAGGGAGTAGCGGGGTGGCAGGGGTGTGGAATTCCTATCTCCCGATACCTGGGACATGCAGCTCCGGGCGGGTAGTTGTTTTCTACATTTAGCCCGGCTTTGGGCAAGCAGAGCTAAATGTACAGCGGGGAAGCCGCCGCTTGTTTTATCCTAGTGGTCCTGGCGATGTCGCCGAGATCACTTGTATGCAGCCTGCAGGTCTGCTATTCTCCATGGGGAGGAGGTTTGGCGGCTAGGGGGGCGCATTGGGGACCTGGGCTTGGGGCAGTAGAGAGAGTAAATTTGGCCCTGGCCCTTCTTTGCCTGCAGTTCCAATACAGTTCAATAGGAACTGAATCCAAGGACACTCATGGCGAGCCTTCTGCTTGTACGCGGTGCCGTTGTGCGCTCAGATTGGCGCTCTCTGATAAGCGTTGCCAGCCTTGTCTGCTGTGCATTGGTAAAAGAACACTTCCTAATGCCCCGGTGACAGACAGGGCCCGCAGCTCTGGTCTACGTAGATCTACTGAACGCCATCGCTCACGTCGTAATGCCCGCTGCTCCGGGCACCGGACCAATCCACCAAAGCCAGGAATATGTAACCGTGTTCATCGGCTGAGCGGTCCCCTGGCAGCGTTTGTGCTGTTTAACATTTTTATTGGGGCACTTGCCAGTCGCTCTCAGCAGATCGTCGCCGCTGAGCAAACCCTGCCAGGAAAAGTGTCGGAGACCGGCAGAGCCCCACCGAGTGTCACGTGTCTCCCGCGGCTCTGTAAAAAACGCGTTCCGGGGTCCTCCGGCGGGAATGATGATCCGAGTCTGGTGCTTTATGAGGAGACGGATACTGATGGGGGTTGTAAGGAGGTGTGATGGGGAACATTGCAATTTAATGTGTCACTATATTTACTGGGAGGTTCTGAGTGACGTTCACCTATAATAATATGTGAACTGACACCCACCCATCAGGGCATTTTGATATTGGCATAACTCCTCCCAAGAGCCCGCCCACTGCTTGCATCAGGACTGAGAGGTGTACTGAGGCAGGGTGCTGTGGTGTTTTCAGGAGGCTGTGTACAGCCCCCAGCGGCCATTCCCATCACTTGGTCTAAAATAAGGTATGCAAAAAAATGATCAGAACCTACGGCTCTACAGCTCAGTTGCCTGCTTCACCTCCGTGCTTCCAGCTTTTTTATTCATCTGGGAGTAAATGAATATCACATTATCTGTGACATCCTCCTTGCACCCCCCCCCCTTTCATTTTGTGATTCTTCCAGTGGCTGAAACATGTCAGGATGATGTAATTGGCCCGGTGCAGTCAGTGCACTAGAGCCGGCGTGCCTCCTGTCTTTTGTGGTCCTGGGTAATCTCAGGTTTGGGTCACCTCGGGCCTCCCTTCCACCTCCCACTACGTCTGCTGCCTTTGCACAGCCAGATTGATCATCATGTATCTGACGAGATGCAATTTGTTTGCCCGGAAGACGGCTATTTGCTGATCTGCAACGTTTCCGAAAAGTAAACTAAGTTTGTTAGGGAGGCCGGGCCAAGTTTGGTGAGTGTCTGATCATGTAATCATAGGCGGGGGGGTGCAGAGGGCGCCATATACCGTCCTGTCCGCACATATGTGCCCCCCCTCCCCCTGAGCGAGCTTGTTGTATATATACAGATAGGACGGCGGAGTAAACAGAACATCAGACAGATCTCTGCGTCCTCCCTTCATTCACTTGGGGGGGGAGGGTTATTATTTATTTAGGTGTTTAGGTTTATTTCGGGGTATTTAGTTTCCCGTCATTATGACTGATTGCCATCGCCCCATCATTGCCTACCTTGTCTGAATCTTCAGCTGGAGG